TCCCAAATAGGACGAAACGCGTGTCCTAGATTCCACTGCTAACCACTATCCATCTTTCCTATAGAGTAGTAGTCCTGTAATCAATAAAAAAGGTATATTTAGAAAGATGAAGATGGAAATATTAAAAAGAAAATAGAATGAATATTTCTAAGTGTTTTCAATTTGTTATAAAAACTTCGTTATATACTTCATTTTATTTTTACTTGAATTACTATTCTATATTATTAATACTCTTATCCTTTTCATAACTAAACTATATTGCATCATTTTTCTTTAATTCAGTTTCAATATTTAATCAGGTGGATTAAATGAACCATGAATAAGTTACATTCATTTTTTTTCTACTTCTTGTAAATTACATAATTGTTCAATATTGAAATGGAAAAATTTGTTCTTGTTGTTGTTTTTATGGCAGAGAAGAAAAAAACCAGGAGAAAAGAAACATATTTAGATAAATAACTTTTTTTTATCACAATATGATTTAAAACTACTTTTATTTGTTATTTGCTTAGTAGTTTATACATACTCATTATACTTTATGTTTCATTGAATATATTAAGCGGAAAATTCAATTAGTTAAGTGTCCACTTATGATTGATTAATGAATAACCTCACCTGTAAATACAAATTGAACACAACGGTATCTTTTTTTTATAAGCTTTAACTAATTAACTTAATGTGTATATAAGTTTATTACTAAGATATAAGTAATAATTAAATAATCTATTATTCAATCAAATTTATCTTTTTTTAAGACTAACTTAGGGAGATATTTTGAAATGATTATGGTAAGATTAGTCTAGACTGGTAAATACTTCTCTTCTAAATTGAACAGATTAATTAAAGTATATTATGGAAATATTTAAGTTCACTTGATGCTAATAGTCTTTATTAAAATATATTGAAGTAATCTGATATATATATATATATATATATATATATATATATATATATATATATATATATATATATATATATATATATATATATATATATATATATATATATCACTGGTTGAAATCATGATTCAATTGAAGCTAGACCATCATGGAAAACCTGGAATCACTGGATGGCTGTTTCGTCCCAGTATGGGACTCCTCAGCAGCGCGCATCCACGACCTTGTCCCTTGTGAGATTCGGACCCAGGACCTGTTGGTTTCGCTAGCGAGCACTTAACCACTAGACCACTGTACATATATGAAACTGGTTTTTATCAATGCTGATTATTATAAACTTCAAAACTGATTGAGAATAGTTTATTTCATTGCATACATAAAGTCAATTACAACATATTTTCAACTCGATATGAAACTGAAACTGAGATCTATGTTATATGATCAATAAGTTAGTTTGTAATCTATTGTAAAAGAAAAAAGAGTGAATGAAAAGCTCCTTCAAATATGATCAGCTGACAATATCATGGTCAAGCATTATGTATGTTATCTTCAGTACATATAGTTAAGAGAAAAGTTTATGACCTTTTACTTAAATAATAAATTACCTAATTTCTGATCAAAATTCAGATCTTAAAGCAATAACTTAACTTGTATGATAAAGATTATGTTTTTTGATTAGTTTCAAACTTAAAGTGAACACAGTATATGCTATGATTTATTTGATTTACTAACTTTTCTAATTCAGTACAATGTCATGATCTATAAAGTGCTCTCCTCCAAATTAATACAGGAATTGAAACATTTTATTTACAGGAAATAAAGATTAAGGAAGATAGACAATAGTTACATAGTAGGGTATGAGCATTTTGTACTATGTATTTGATTTTATCGGAAGGGGTTTTGTGGAGATTGTAGTAGATTCAGTAGTTGAGATTATGAGTTAATTGAAGCTAGACCATCATGGAAAACCTGAAAGCATTGGATGGCCGTTTCGTCCTACTGTGAGACTCCTTAGCATTGTTCATCCACGACCCCGCCATGTGAGATTCGAGCCCAGGATCTATCAGTCTCAAGCTCGAGGCCTTAACCCTTAGACCACTGAGCCTCGTGGCGAGGTCGTGGATGAACACTGCCGAGGAGTCCCACAATAGGACGAAACGGTCATCCAGTGCCTCCAGGTTTTCCATAGTAGTCTAGCTTCAACTGACTCATGATCTCAACTATTTGATTTTAATCAAAATCATATACCATCAAATACATACCTTTTTCACAATGAGACAAAAATTGTCGTTACAAATTTATGCTAAGTGATATATATAAGCAAACTCGAAGCAAAGGTCAAATTGAAAACGTAGATGCTGCCACGACATTCATTCAATGACTTACAGAGACAGTAACCGATCAAATTTAGTCATGAGTATTAGCAATAGAGTAATCCTAACTCTTATAAATAACAATAAATATATCTCTTTTGTGATATCACAATGAATAGAAAATTGTATTTTTGATGTTTATTGTAATTAATAACCACCAACATATTTGTTGAATAGGTTTGTGGCTGTTGCTAATTAGTAAATCTGATTTTTGGAGAGAACCACACTTGTAAAAAAAAATCGTAAGGATTTAATGAATACAAAGTATTTGTTTCGTCTTATCCAAGAACCCCTGAGTAGTAAATTCATTTAATCCCGTATAAAGTGTAATGAAAATCTATGAAGCTTTGCAATCGATCAGTTATCCTACTAAATTTTAGTTCATAGAAATTTGAAAATAAATTGATCCATAGTATGAACCTATTTCGAGACAGCTGTCTAGACTTGGAACTCATATAAGAACAATCGTATCTAGAATTAACTTTCATAGATTATATGACTTAACGGTGATGAAGTTTTGTTCTCTGAGCTGGATAGTTTGATCATAGAGCTTTCATCGTTCTTTTGAACAACATGACTTAACTTTTAACATTGTTATAGACTTGAAAGTTTTTGTCACTTAATATGTATTTATCAACCACATAATCAGTTGCTCAAGTTAGTTATCAAAAGTAAATCAATAAATAATTTGTTGTCCATGAAAAGTTTAATACATTCTCTTAGTTTTTTTGGTTATTTATTTTTTCGAGCTTTCAAAATCTGAAGAGAAAAAACTAGTCATTTTATTCAAAACAATCATCGTAATTACCTAGATACTTATTAATTTCAAGCTGATACATTATCAGATTTATGCAACAGAAACTAATCATAGACACGTGTATTTTGTAATATAGTCAAACACTTAATAAGTCTTAATCAATAAAGACAAATACTCAGTTGAAGGACATACTAATTACAAACTTTCATTGTCATTTCATCTATCCTAACAACTAAGACACGTGTGTCATCTAAAATCAAATACTAATATGTTATTTTTAATATTGTTTATCTTTGTATTACATCATAAATAATTTGTTCAATTGGATACTGAGTCTAACGTAATTGAAATACAAGTGATATTTAAAAGCACTTAAAGTGAAAATTAATCATCAACTGAAACAAATGAAAAGTCACTTTAATCAATATAGAAAATTACATACAAAATTAGATAATTAGATTTTTGCAAATGACTATCGAAAGTTAGACGTTAACACAGCTAGATGCCGGCTCAGTTGTCTAGAGGATAAGCGCTCGCGGACGATACCGATGGTCCCGTGTTCGAATCCCACGGCGGGGATCGTGGGTGCCCCTTGCTGAGGAGTCCCACAATAAGACGAAACGGCCATCCAATGCTATCAAGTCTTCTATGGTGATCTAACTTCAATTGACTCATTAACTCAACTATTAAAAGAAAAGTAGTTGAAATTAAGAACCATCAGAAGTGTTGTTTTTTCTTTCAATTCATTTAATACTCAAAGCATTCCAAAATGCAATCATTGCTAAATATTAACACTATTTTGGTGTTTTCTTGATAAATATAAATGTTATCATAATTCAAATAGGTTTGTAAATAATTTTCAGTTTAAAAATGGTATTCATTAATTAATTTTCACATATCCATGAATTGATGTTCAACTATTTCATTCTCAGCCTCATCTTGTAACAGAATCATGTATCTTTCTGGATATATTTACGATTCAGTCTATATTTGGATGGGTGTTCCTTGATAGGTTAAAATATTTTCGTAGTTTACTGCTGAGATGCTTTAAGGGAATTAGAAGATAAATTTACTTTACTAGTCTATAACGAATACTGACAAACTCTGCATTACCAAACAAACGGCTTTGTGAAAGAGATTGCTATAACATTTAGTTACTTATTAGGTCTCAAAGATGCTCATAATTTAGTTCGTGATTAAAATGTAATTACTACTTTCTGGTACATACATCTTAGTAGGTTCGTCAAAGAATCACATTTTATAACTGAAACGGTTTCCACATCCGTGAAGCCACGGGACAAATAATTTAAAACTTTTCGTATATAAAGCTAAAAAAAACCAGTGTTCACATGAACAAAAAGAATGCTTGATGCTTATATCACCAGCTACCTTTGAACATTGGGAATTTATGTTTGTATTCACTAGTTCATCACCATTAATATCAAAGTGAATACAAGTGTGAACTCAAGTAGATGGTTTTCATTTTAAAAACCCTGTTAATTTCTTAATACAGTCAGTACAAATCATCCATGAGTTAGCATAAATGTAATTTATCAAGCTATTCATCATATCTTCTTTAAAAAACAAACTCCATATAATGAAGGGTCTTTAAAACTTGCAAATAATCCTTTCATAAAAACTTTTCTATTCATGATGATTTATTAAATTTCACAGTTGTCTAACCTGGAAATTTCATTAAATCATCATCATCCATTAAATGAATCAATTACAAAATTGGTTTAATTAAACTATAGTTCTCTTCAATTGGAAGAAAAACAGTCTTAATCATGGGTTTAAAGAAACAGGAATAATTTGATAAACAAATTCTACACAAAAAAAACACAAAAAAACTATCGATCAACTTGACAACAAACTCAATATTATTGTTATCGATCAATATGTAAATGATCATCATTTTTACATGTGAGTTAATTTCATAAAATTTCCTTAATTTATTGAATAGAATGGAGATAAATTCAAAGTCATTTATAATCATTGTGATGATAACATTGTATAAGATCAGAGATAACCCTATAGATTGATCTAATTTATTGTGGATCATTATATTCTAATTAATAATTATGTAAGTTATTTTTTTAATGATCTCTCATTGTCCATAATAAAGCCTTAATTGATTAACTTCTTGTTAGAATTTTTAGTGTAATACATCACTTTCCTAAAGTATATTATGTATAGTATCGATAACTATGGCTATATATTATAGTAGTCGAGGAATTCCTTAGTTTATCAACAGATTAACTTAAAGGATATTTATCAGAATGGGTTTGGTGGAGATTGTAGTAAGTTCAATAGCTGAGATCATAAGTCAATTTCATGAGCTCATTTTCGTGGGTTAGTTGAAGTTAGATATTAACACAATTGGATGCAGGCCACCTCAGTGGTCTAGTAGGTTAAGCGTTCGCGCGAGAGGTTGGTAGGTCTTGGGTTTGAACCCTTTGTGGCAGGGTCGTGGATGCGCACGGCTGGGTAGTCCCACAATAGGACGAAACGGTCATCCAGTGCTGTCAGGTTTTTCATGGTGATCTAGCTTCAATTAACTCATGATCTCAACTATTAAAGGATTATATTAATAATATTTTGATAGTTAGTTATGAAATAATTGTTTGTATCGGTTTCTTTTTTAAATAATATCAGATTAATTTTATAAATTGAAATTAAAATCTATATCAGCTAACGGTGATTAGTTTACCTAATTGAAATAATGGCTTACTATCATGTATTAAAACTAAATGACATAAAATTGTAGAAGTAGATAAGATCTGAATTACTTTCAACTAAATAGTTTCCTTCTTATGTCATTATTTATTGAAACTGAAATTCGTTAAAATACCAACTCTTAGTCAAAAGTACAAAGTTTGGAATGATACACAATAGTATATGTAAGATAACTGATAAGATAATCACCAAATAACCCCCAAATGCCCTGGTATGGCCGAGAGTGGGGAGAGTCCGCTCTTCCTCTCGAAATGCTCTCACATGGCCACGCGTATATAGCCTCTGTCAGGAAAGTCCTACTCACTGCCTTCTCGTGGCGGGGGTGTTGCTTACAAAAATGAGAGGACGAAAAGCGAATGTCCGGCGCTTTAACCGGATTCCAAACTGATGGTGCACATGGGCTCCAGTATCCTGCGGGAACAAATGTCGTATGAACCAATTGTTGGTCACGGGCTTCCATGAGACTGCATCTCCTTACGATGCTCCACTGCCTTGTGGATCAGACCCTCAGGTCGAAGGCTCGGGGAGTGGCCTTTTAAGAAAACCACCTGCTTCGGTTTGGGCACCCGAGTGGTATCACAGCCCTCACACATATCGAATGAGATTTGTGTGGCGCATATGTATTTGGTGCCTCCTTGTACGAATATTTATGTGTTAAAATAAATAATAAATAAATAAATAAGGATAAATAGCATTTTTTTCTTTAATTTATTTACATCACATTAATTACTCCCATTAACCGGACTAGAATTATGTACATACATCTTGATTTCACATTTCAATCGATAACAGTGAACTTATGTTTGATAAATGTTTCACATTGATCTCATCTTGGATATATGGTTTTCAAAGAAAATGTTCTCACTTGAACGAAATATTTAAAGAAAACGCTTTGAACAATGAATATGTATGATATGTTTGTAGTCATTTATGTAGATCCTTACGTTTAGTTAGCCTGATCACTAGATAGAATCTATCGGGAATGCATTTCAACAAAATCAGCTCGAAAAATGAATTCTACCAACTAGCTTAGACAAGCTAGTATCCCACAAACTGTTCGACAATTATTAGCAAATTTTCATAGGATGCATATAAATGACCAGCTAACTTCGTCAGCACATGAAGTAATGATCGGTTTTGATTAGTTAGTTTCTAAAGAGCGCCCTATTTGCAAGGTTGGTAAACCTCAGATATGGAAAATGCAGTGAATGTTAATAGGAGTTTGATGTTTTCTACTGTTTCCATCCTATGAAGTTATTTATTACATACTACCTAGTTTGAGAGTTTCGAAACGATCACATTGTGAGTTACCAACACTGTTTAACCCCAGTTATCATGTAACATTGTCTATGATAATTCTCACTTCTATGAATCGATCGTTTGTATGAATAAAAAGGTATTCTTTTTAGATGTAAAACAAATTACCATTACCATATAGATTCTTCATGAACAGTAAACAGTAATTCAAGTTTATGAGTTTTATTTTTACTATCTAAAATACCTATTTCATTCTAGTTGTGAATATAACTTTACAAAATGACTTAATAATACTCACTATTACATGATTTATCACCGGATAAAAAAAACATCTGTTTTGTGGTTTCTAGTTTCCAGTACTTCTTCAACTGAAATAGTCATATACCAAGAAATTATCTTTAATAAAAGAATAAAAGTTTGCCATCATTACTTGATTTAGATACATTCTGTAGATGATCATATTAAAATTAGAAGTGTTTTGCTAATAAATAGAAAAATAAGTTTCGCTAAACTGTAACTTTCAATACTTTATTTAGTACAAAAATACTTGAGATACACGAAAAATGTATATGTTTATCTATGAACAACATAAAGACTTCGTTAGTTTGCAACAGATTGACCGCTCTAGATCCTGAGCATTACCACTCGATTCAGTAGACATATAGAGATGTCTGCTAATTAGCAAAGTTTGCACTCAAACAGAAAACTACCCTTGATTCTCCTGGATGTATCTAGTTTATCGTATGATATTGGTTAGTGAAATAAATCATCTACAGAATAGTTGGGTTACCATTATCGTCAATTTAAATTTGATTGCTCTTTTTGTTTTCAGCACTATGCAAGTTCCTTATCGACCAGATCACTCAAATTTAACTGTATCAGTTCAGCCAGATGGTACCCTGAACCAATCAAATAAAAAACGATGGGATGTTGGCTTATGTGATTGTAGATCAATTAAACTAACACTTCTTTCGTGTTTCTGTCCGTGCTGTGTTTTCGGGAGCATCACACAAGAAATGGATTACCCTTGGTGTATTTGTTGCTTGAGTTATTTGGTAGCGTTATTTCTTTCGCCTATCATATGGATACATGTATTTTTGGGGTGCAGCTGCCGTAGACGTTTAAGACATCATTATCGCATCAAAGGTCATATTATCTCTGACTTTTGTACTTCTCTTTGGTGTTCCTCATGTATGCTATACCAGTCGGCAGCTCAAATAGCTGTTGAACGTTACAAAAAATTGCAACCCGGTGTTCAAAACCCTTATACAACAGGATTATTTCGTAAAATCGGTCATATAATAATTTCATGTTACAGTATTCCAAGACGCATTCGTGATGAACATTTAAATTCCCAATCACTTTTGAACACGAATAATTCTACACTAGACAACACACATGTGTCCAATCTACAACCTGGATTAATCAAAACAGTTTGTGTACCATACACAAGTCAACCAGTGCAACCACATATTGGCATACAGTCGGCACAAGTACAATCACACTTAACCTTACAGGCTCCTCATTCTCAACTAATGCCAGAAGCAGTTTTACCTACGACACAAGCATCAGACGCTTTGGTACACAAAATTCAAGGCAGCTCACAACTGCAACAAACTCAGAATATACAAGATCTTATTACGCAATCAGAGCCTGGTGAATCCGAGCCTATTATGCATATATGATGGAAATTATGGAGGTAAACGAAAATAAAAGCAAATCATGACTGAAAAAATGTTGGCGTTAAAACTATCTTATTGATTGAACTTTACATCATTAAACATGTTTGTGAAATTTATTAATGGTTTCCATCTATACTCAAATTTGTATATTTAATAAAATATCTAGTCGGAAGAAACTTATCAGTTTTATCACGAAATCCAGACCGACAACTTGTTTTGACATAAAAGTATCTTTCATTTGAAATAATTTAATCAGCTTCAACTAAAGACAGGAAATTCATATGAAGTTGTCACTTTTCATAGCTCTTAATATTCACTAAAGATCACGTTCCAAGTCATATAACCATAAATAGGACAGGGTTACAAAGATATTGTATGTAAAATCAAATGGAACGCCAGAAGTTTATTTACTCTCCTAGGATTTTGCAAAATTAAACCATCTCGTTATATGTTCATGACAGTCATTTAATAAACGAGATTGAAATTCAGTTGGAAAAACGTAGGTTTGATTAACAAGTGTGTATTTCTCCAATGCATACTGAAATAAACTACAATCATGGAGTAAAAACAATTAAAGCAAAAAGCGACAAACCCAGTAGACTTTACAATCGATGGTTAAACTAACTAGGTTCCCCACCATCTGAAAAGTTCGAAACAGATGGTGACTAGAACAGATGATAATCAAGTAACTCCAACCGCAATTTCGGAATACTTGGTAATTTTTATGATTACAATAAAATGCAAATCTATTGGATTAGTCTCAAAACACAATCCAATGATTTTCATACATCATCTGAATAGATTTCATGAATTAAAAGACGGGTGAAAAGATAACGAATCAGATGACTAATTTATTCATCAACGTTCACGCTCTATGTCACAAGAAGTGAAACCTATAGTAATAAACTCTGGTAACAATTAGATTGGTATTCAGTTTCATAGTCGGGATTCGATTATTAGTATCTTCTATATAATAATATCATTCATCTATAAAATTCAATCTACCATCATTTTTAACATAGCGGATACGGCCTACATAAATTAACATTAAATTACTGACTTAGTTCATTGAATTGCTTAAGATAAACATATATTCAGAAATAGTTGACGACTGAATCCATTATTAGTGAATCATCTTGATGGATTACAATGCCGAAATTTCAGTAGTAAATTCCGAAATATCTAAGAGTAAAATACTTATTTGACTTAAGAATTATTTTTGTGCTTACATATCATTTTTCGATCAAAGTTCAATAATTTTAAAGCAAGTTAGCAAGTAATTGATTACAATTTACTGTTATTAAACAAATTAAAACTGTTTGACTATGAAAAATATCACTTACAATACACGATTTCTTTTTCAGTAGTATATAATTGATTGTCCGTAAAGATTGGATATTGTTCTTAATTCCTAGTGTGTTTGTATGTTAGAAAAATATATATCATTGATGACACATACCAATCGAAGCCAGTCACTAATTTTTATATTCAAACTTTTATCTCAGTCAGTCATCTTCAACATAGGACCAGGTACATATATGCTGCTACCTTGAAGTGGTGGTTGGACTTGTTTATCGTGATGAATCAGTTGGGCTATACTAGCTGCGACAATCGTTGCTCATGGTCCTAGCATCTCAGCTAGGTAGGCTGAAGAGTGGTAAGTCTAAAAGAAGCAAACCCGAGGACGAAGTCGTACTACTAACTGTGCAGAAGTGTGACAGTGGTAATATGTTTCTCTCATACAACCAGCATAACAGAGATGCTGCCTTCCCACAAAGGAAGGGTTAAAAGGTTAGAAAAAGTCGATCCTAAAAATTCACACCTCATCTTATCCCACAGAGATCCGTCTCCAGCGGTATGCTTTCAACAAGCACGGGACTAACATAAAAGTTACCCACAAAATGGTCATGTGTGACCGGCCTCAAGTAGTTGTCTCTTGAGCACTTTGGTCACGTTCTCAATTTACTAAGACCAACTCTAACCCGATTTCTTTTTCAAGTACCTCTAGAAGAACCCTTCCACGGTGTGGGCAATCAGGAAGTGATAACCGCTCTCATCCCTCTAACAGCATTCAAGGCCACATATTCTATCTATGCATAACTTAATAACATATACAGTGTAATAAAAATGATGAATTTGTATTGACATGAAATGTTGATGTAAAACATATTCTTTATTTCTCATAATATAGATCATTACTAGCCATGGATAAAAATATCAATTATATATTCCTGTCAGAATTGTTTTTTATATACAATTTTAAAGTAGATCCTAGTTGACTAATATACAAACACTTTGTCTTTAATCTCTTAGATTTAAGATATAAACTTGATGATTTACATTTCCACTGGTTAAATTTAATCCAATAATACTAATAAAAAACCGATTTAAAGAAAAAGTTTTTTTCTCACTTATTTAGTTTCCATGATATGACGCAATAAATCATAGAAAAACGTCAGACCTGTTAGTGAGAGAGAGAGAGGGAGAGGGAGAAAAAAAGAGCTTTAGTAACGTACCCTTTTATAGTGTTATTATTAACTAAACATTAAAACAATGAAATGGTTTTATTTAAAATCAACAAACTAACAAGTAAGAAGTTAAACTAAGTTGATAATTTTCAATAGAATAAGTAATAGTATTAATTGTTGGGATGCATCATTTAAAAGAACAAAAAGAAAAGAAAAGAGAGAGAGAAGGTTTTAGAAATAACAAAGAGTTATTTGTAGGCGTGGCTGTGATTCTGAAACACTTTTCATCGACCTATTTTCTTACTACTAGTAATAGTAATAATAATAACGTCACTAGTAATAAACATAACAAGCTTAGTTTCATCATAAAAAATCTTGTTGTCTCTTTATTATTTTCACTTCTATTCATTTTATGTTTATTTTATTAAGTCTTGTTAATTGAATGTTGATAAAGTAATAAGAAATGAAATGGGACTACTTTTTGTCATCTGTTGAAGAAAAACAAAACAAAAGAACATTACTTTGAAAAAGGATATATACATACATGAGAATACTTCAAGAATGTTAGAAAGTGGTAACATCTAGACAAGCTAAATGTAACAGTAAGTTAGTAACTAATGAAAAGGAGGTTAAAATATGAAGTTTCTCTATGCAAAGATATATTAAGTGTAAATGGTAATTGTCACCTTTATGCTTATTCAAATATTGTCTTTTTGTTAGGGTATTCTTTGTTATGTTTATGCTAAGTTTAACACTAGTCCTAACTATCATTTACCAGCCTCTTACACTATATGATGATCTAGCGCTCTGATTATATCCATATCAAACAATTGAAAGGACCTATGAAGTTTTTAGGAAAGTTCTGTGTGACATAATTTACATATAAGCTACAGTTTTTTGTGAGCTAAAAGCAACCGCTTGACATTACTCTTTGACTACAGTCGTGATAAAAATCGAATTTATATCATGTTAATTTCTTACAAAAAATTATTTAAGTATTCAATATTTTAATTCAATTTTAAATATTATTTCAGCTTATTCTAGTCAGTAAACATAAGTGTTGATGATATAGTCTAGAATGATATTAGAAGTTTCAAATCTAACCATCTGACACAACATAACACCATTACAGTTATAAATCTTCTTGAATCCTTCAAAGTCTGTTGTGCTGAATAGACGATACTATCGATGTCTGTATGAGAACAAATTCTACTTCAAAAAAATTGTTAAATTTGATTCTTCATGAAGGTGGTCAACTAGACAATAAATTTATTCTTAATCTTCCAAGTTTTCAATTGTGATCTAACATCAATCGGTTCATGATCTTAATTTCTAAAAAAAACAATTAAATAACTTTATAAGTAAAAAAACTCAATTAATATCATATGGGTTTTGTGGAGATTGTAGTAATTTCAGTGGTCAAGATCATGAGTCAGTTGAAGCTAGACCACCATGGAAAACCTGGAAGCACCGGACGGCCGTTTCGTTTTATTGTGGAACTCAATTTCGTGGATTGGTTGAAGTTAGACATTAACACCGTTGGACACCGGTCGGCTCAGTGGTCTAGTGGTTAAGTGCTGGCGCGCTAAACCAGTAGGTCTTGGGTTCGAATCTCGCAGGGGGCGAGGTCGTGGATGAGCACTGCCGAGACGTCCCATACTAGGACAAAACGGCCATCCGGTGCTTCCAGGTTTTCCATAGTGGTCTAGCTTCAACTGACTCATGATCTTAACCATTGAAAAAACTCAATTGTCTAGACAAGAAACGCCAGTAGGAAATTTGATTCTTTTTTTAAAAAATCAATAAATTAGCATCTTTTAATTCTACGTAAATGTATGCGATCTCAAATTCTTTATCATTATTTGTTTTAATTTACTCTTGAAAATCATCATACACTTATGCATCGTCTTATGATAAGAACATTTGATCAAATATAATAAATCAGATGTTTAAGTATAGTGTGATGTATAATATTTATGTCGACAAATATAAGTAGCATGTAACACTAATTGGAAGTGTAAACCCTGGCAGCAAAAGGCTTATAATGAGATCAAGTTGAAGAGAATATAAAGAAATCGCTGATAGAAAGTATCATATAGAATGTGAAATGTAAATGAAGTCTTCAATATATGGTTTTCATATTTAAACAATATATTTTGTAGTTTTGTATTAAAATACAACTCCGCCTAGAGTCCCTCCGGGGGCTACTGCCGGTCCCAAGCCCGGATAAAGGAGGAGGGTTGGGCATGGGGTTAGTGTCCCCATCCCGTAGAAAACTAACTCGCTAAAAAAACGCTAAAAACGCTAATTTGTTCCCACTTGTGTTCTCTTTCATTACAATAGTACATGAATTCAGTTTTAGTAGATAAAAATGACAACAAAGCAACGTTAATAATTATTTGATATTTTAGGGAAAAAATTCTCTGTGCTTTTACTAAAGAACCATAATAGAGCCTGACTTCCAACTAGAAAGATTCAGTGTGATTTAAACAAACTTCCTTTAAAATCATTTTCTCTTAATCATCAACAATGAAGTTTACAGATTTCATTGACTACAAATCAACGTAACAATATTACCCCTATAAGTTATGACAAGATTATAAGCAAAGATGGATAGTGGCTAGTAGTGGAATCCATGACGTGCGTTTCGTCCTATTTGGATCTCGTCAGCTGGATGTATCTGCACCTCACCCTGGAACTCGAACCCA